CCGTTTTCAGCAAGGGACGCGCGCTGCGCTGTTCGAGCTGTTACCGCCACGCTGCGCGCCGCTACCGCTTAGCCAACGAGCGGTAGTTCTACGCGCGCCGATCCGTTTCACATTGATCGTCCGCGCCGATTGCCTTGTAGCTTGGCTCGTGTCATCTGTTGAATTATAAATTATGGCAAGGAATTAATATTGTTGTGTCCTCTCGTCGACTATTCGCCGTGCGTCGTTCATGTTAGCCAACGTCGGCATGCAACATGCAACTGCAGTTGCAACTGTGAATCTTGAAATACCCGTAAAGTAGTAAACAGCACCAATAACAACTACAACAAACATGCGCAAACAGTTGCGAATGCCGAAATGATTTTGCTATTGTGGTTAGTGTTGTTGTTGCTGGCGACAAAAGGGACAACAACGCTGCGGTTGCCACATAAAAACAACAAGTAAATAGCAGGAGGGCGCGAACGCATCATTTGCGAGAATCCAGTGCAGAAGATAACTGCAGCAACACGGTGTTGTTGTTGTAGCCGTTTGTTTGTAGTCGGCACTTGACTCGTGTTGACTTGACTTGACTTGACTTGACTTATGTATGTTGCGTTGCCAATAATCAGGATCAGCCGCCGCAACATAAGGCCAGTGTGGTTGTTCACCGATTTGGCCAACAACAATGAAAGGACACGAATCTCCTTTCGGCATCGAGCGGCTCACTTGACAGTGTAGACAAACAGCATGTGTATATGTATGTATGCATGTGTTGTTGTTTTTATGAATGTGTGTGCACTCATAGATGGATAGCTGGAAGATGTGTTGAGGCTTCTAAGCCGATATTGTTGTTGTTGTTGCCTTAAATGCTGCTTCGCATACACGACCGATTGTTGTTGCTATTGTGCGCTTGCATCATGCGCACCTGTCACTTTGGCAAAGCGACAGACAACGAACGAAAGGTGTGCGCTGAAAATTTTATCCGCTGCAGCTTGGCCTGGCAAACTCATTGACCAAAGACAACAGCAACAATGAGAAACACGTAAAAAAAAGAACGCATAAAAAATATTTCAGTGTGCGCATTTTTAATTTGTGGCACCATTGGCATCCAGCCGCAGATCACATCCCTGCAACAAGCCCCTCTTCGCTAGTTGGCGCTCCTCGACGCTTGTACCTACATCAATTTGCTGGCACAATTGTTGCCTGTGCATCAGCTGAAAAGTTCGACCCAAAGGACATGTGTGTGCCGCACATACACACAAATGCATCTTTGTGCGCCCGGACGCAATCGCAGCGCACAAATGTTGACTGCGCGCGGCAGGCAGCGCGCAGCGCAGCGAAGATGAGTTGATTTTGTGATTTCATTTCGTAGACACGCGCCTAATTTCGAATTTCGTTCACTTTTTATGCATTTTGATTTTTCGTCTGTTTTGTTGTTTTGTGAGTCGGAAATTATATGTTGCAGATGCCAGTGGCAGTCAGCTGGATTTCTACGCACAGGTTGCTTAGAGATTTAGGCATGCGTTTCAGGTATTCGGCCGGGCCAAAAGGCATATGTAAAGATGACCAAATCGCTGGGATACGATATGAGAGAAGGTGAGCGAGAGGAACTTCGTAGTTGAACAGGTTCGAGGAACGGACAATTATTTTTCACCTGCTACACTTCTTCTACGCATAGTTACATTTATGCGTTTAGTACAATATTAAGGACTTCATCTGCCGTTTCGTGTTCGTAATTTCACTTTCGTGTACTTAATGAATTTATTGATAGCAAACTTAGCGCAGATATGCCGACTATGCCGACTATTTCGGAATGCAGGCGGCTCTATGAAATATGAGCACATATGTATAGTGGAAAACTAGTTCACGTTGTTGTCATTGTGTCTTGCAAGAATGTTTGCCAAATCGTAATTAAATATTTATTAACGATGTATAAAATATCCCTATTATACACTCTATACTTTCCACCCGTTTATATATACATAAGTCACTAAATAGATTTGGCTGTAGATCCAACAATAAACATGCGTTTCACAAGTTCTGGGCGGCAGTCAGCGCTCTCAATTGCTGTCCTGAAGGTTTAGCGGAAAAAGGTGAACTGTAAATCTGAACTTACAGGATTCTCATCATTATCATTATTACTGCAGCAATTCGAGAACATTATTTTGGACGTTTATTGGGAAACTATGGATGGAGATTCATAAAGTGATCCATTTTAAAGTTCTCTGATGCCTGAATCGAAGCGGGATTGTTCGCATATACTTTAGTCTTTACATATCTCCACAGCAAAAAGTCTAACGGTGTGATATCACACAATCTTGGTGGCCAATCGAGCGGCTCAGTGTTCTCTCAGTAAATTCATTGATTGATGTGATGTGTGGGAAATGGCGTCGGCTTGTTGAAACCAAATGTCGCCGAGATTACGAGCTTCAATTTCAGACATCACATAGTCGTTTATCATGGCGCTATAACGGTCGCCATTGACGGTTACGTTCTCCCCGGCATCATTTTTGAAGAAATATGGACCGAGCGATATCAGTTCTGGCAGAAGCTGTATTATTTACGCTTTCAATTTAAGATCTCGACTTAAAATGCGCCAAGTCGTTCCATACATACGTCAGTCCGAGTTGCTGCGAACGGCGTTGAATCGCTATATTTTCTTTACTGCGTGCTGGACGTGGTCTCTTCGGTCGAATATCCAATAATGAATTCTGGGTCTCAAGATGGGTGACGGTGTTGCGAATAGTACGCTCAATACGGCGATTATGTTGACCATTTAAAAAAGGACCTCTACTTGGATTACCCGTTATAAGTACATATACCTTCGTCACTGCTTTCTGAATTCTTATGTTCGAATTTTCGTATAATTTAATTTTCAGTTTTTGTATTAGACCCCACCAGTAGAAACCTAATTTCCGCATTTTAGCTGAATTTAATGCTACCATTTAGATAAACTATTGCTAAATATTGTTAACTTTGAAAATCAGGGCACACCTCATTAACAAATTGCCACGGTTAATGTATGATTCTCTGCCGCTTTTGCAATAAGAAATTTTGTCACGTCTTAGGCGGCGTCGATAATGTCAATAATGCCATTCAACATGCCGCCCAGCACTTTGTCGGCTTTTCAGTAAGCACTACAGAAGAGAAGAGCCAGCAACAATCAGCTGCCGAATTCGTAGTGAAAAGGCGCAAAGTCCTTGACAGACATGTAAAAATGTGGTTTCATTTAGCAAGTGGCTTATGTGGTGGTGTGCGTTCGTATGGATTTTAAATTGATTTGGCGTCGTTTTCATGCACTGCACTCATATTTTATTGTCGCTTCCCTCACCTTGCTACAAATTGTTGCACACCAAATGCCACACTTTAGGCAACCAATACAAAGATCAACGATCGTGGCACAACCACTTTGTATGATCGAATGTGATCGAAGCAGCAATTTCGGGAATTTTCACAGCGGTGCTGGCGTATGAAACGGAGCGGTGGTGTGATGTGCCGTTTGCTGTGGCCACATGGCTTGTTGTTGACTCTTTGCTTCAGGAAATTGTGAACGAGATTTACGAACATTTTTTGGTACCTTGACTGGCGTACACGAAAAGTGATTACAGAATACCTTTCTGCCCTCCTTTCCACCTACGGGCGATATTTTGAAAGAAATGTTCCAACTGATTCGCAATAAATGAGGATGAGCGTTACTTCATTACTGATCGGTGATTATGAGCATTTGCAGCGCTAACTACGAGTATAATTATGATATGTAATGACGATCGCATTGATCTTTGCCTTGATCGGCAATCAATGAAGTACGTCGATAATTGTTTGGAGCTGTTGACGAAGCTCGAAATTTGGTATTGTTTTTGGCCAGTACTTTGTGTGATTTGTAATTTGTTGTGGAAACAATTGGAAATGTACCGCTGAATAACTGAACTGTCATCGGACTTTACGGTGTTATTAGTATTTTAAGGGTTTTATAGTTTTTAAGCGGCTATAATGTTGTCGGTATATTACAAAGTGGCATATTTGCCATTGTAGAGACTCAGAACAAAGAAAAGCCGCCGGCGGCAACTCTTTGAGCTCTGCTGTGTTGCCGCCAAAATTGTCGCAAAATAGTGAAAATTATTAACTCGTGCAGTTTTCGCTGAAATCAGGTTTGAACACTCGTTCGATCGATCGGCTGGCAATTTGTGCTTAATTTGTTGTTAAATTATTGAGTATTGAAGTTCATAAGGATGCAACATAAAAACGCAAGAAAAGCAGGGCACAATTAAAGGTTGCAGTATTTGTTAAAGCTACCAATCCATATCAAATGGAAATGAAATATTTTAATAGTAGCTAGTTAGCTACTTGAAGCAGCAACCCTTGCAACTCTTTGCTAAGCTGACGTCAACAAATTAGCCTACCATTTGTCTTAACTGTCAAAGGTTATACTTGAATTTAGAGCGCGATCTTGCTGTGACTAAAATGTCTTTGTGAACAGTTATTTTAAAAAAAATTTGTCATGGCATTGACTGTGGAATTTGTTTCACTATTAAAAAATACTTAGCAGTAATATGCCACGTGAGCGCTTGTTGAGAGAATGTTGTTTCTCTTTTTAAACGATATGAGAAATGATCGCTCATTGACATATTTCTAAAATGTAGTAATCGTTTGCCGATCTCTTTCATTATTGCTTATTTAATAAGAAATATTGTTTACTACTGAATTTCCATAAAATTTTATTTCCTGCTAACAAAATAAGTAAAAGTGTAGTTTTCGACTTTTTTAACATTTATTTATTTTTTTTTCAAAATTCTTTATAAAATAAATAGGTTTTAATTAAGGCAAAAATTATGCATAATACTTATGCTACAAATTTAAATTAACTAAACTATATAATCTTGTACTTAAACTACTTAAACTACTACAGAAAGTTTATCTTAAAAAAACCTGCAAAATGCGTATTTTGAAATATTCTAGAGGTTTTGAGAAATTATACACTCCAACTTAAATAATTAAATTAGTTCTTTGGTATGTTTAGCTGCGTTGTAATTAACAAAATTTTGTTTTAACATTAACATTATATAATTTTTTTCTAAATATATAAGGCCAAATGTTGTAAAAATGTCCAAAATTCTACAAAATTGTATTTACAGTTATTACTAGAGTTTGTTATATGTAAATTTTCAATTATTTGAGCAACAATAAGTGAGCAAAATAGTCAATTTAACAATCAAACGAATACAAATCAGTTTCCTTAACACTAACTATTAAATTTTTTTTTTCTTCTAATTATTTGTAATAATGTACTTTTTTTCTTATGCGCAACACTTAAATATTTAGAATATCAAAGGCTAAGGCAACACACCGACACACATTCACTGGCTCAGTAAAGTTTTAGTACAAGTAAAACTTATATAAAACTTATTTTATTTAACGACTTAATCAATAAATTAGTGTGTACAAAACTTTGGCTTAAACGACTTAGTATTTTAACAGACCAACTGGTACCACACAATACTTGGCGTGCGCACTAAATCTAATTGTTTTTAGATTCTCATAAATGTCACGCAAATAACTGCAAAACTGCATACTAATACAAACGAGTATATGAATACGATTTGCATACCCTTTATATATATGTGTGTGTGTGTATTAGTGCATATGTATGTTTGAAGTATAACTACGATTAGTGCTATTTTAAATTCGAGTTTACACACATAACTAACCGATCCATAAGGGATACCACTGCGGCATAAAGATAAAACTGCCAGTCTTGTTATAGCGCTGGACCACTTTCGGTCCATAGGCGTGTCTTCAGCAACTGCTGCTGCTCACCTCCATCTTCACCGGTGCCAAAGTTTCCTCGTGCCGACTCTCGCGATGGCGACGCAGATCGACCTTGCGCTGGAACGATTGATCGCAGAGGCCGCAACCGAAGGGTTTATAGCCGGTGTGTTTGCGCATGTGTGTGATGAGATTGGAGCTTTGGCTGAAAGCTTTTAGGCAAACGGTGCATTTATGTGGCTTTTCACCTGCAAAATGAAAGCAAATACGAAAAAAAATAAGCAAGTGTTCAATAAATTAATTAAAAATAAAATCACTTTGTGTGACCGAAGCATATAAAAGTGTGCTGGTAGCGGACACAGTGGGCCTTAAGGGCGAAGCAATTAAGAATATTAATCACTTTTGCGTTGAAGCGAATTTGTAGGAAAATGCGTTCAATGCAACTATCGCTTATATAAGTGTTTAAATGTGACTACCACTCGGACGAATGGCGAACATTGCAACAAATGATTTTACACTTGTGCAACAAAATCACGCAATTAGTAAAATTAAATCAGATAACGGCGGCATGCATTAATAAATATTTGTGTGTGTATGTATGCAAACGCATGACCATGTGATTTAATTGTTGGCAAAGTGGCGACAACATTGTCCGTTGGAGTGGCACGTGACACGCTTTATCACATATACACACCTATACACACATATGCGCATCAGTTGAGATATCGAGGGTGCCACAAACTGACTTTTGCTGTTGCACCAGTGCAACAGTGCAGTTTTAGAAGGTGTTGCAAAAAGCTTGAGTTATAAAAGTTTTTGAAACAGATAATAAAGTGTAATAAAGAAGATAAATAGACATTTGAATGTCAATTTTATTTACTAAGCATGACTCTCTTTACTTGGACCTAGTAGAACTTGAAAAACTCTACATAAAATATGTAAACGAATTCATAACTAATCATTAATATATGTTGGCACCCTGTTTCGACAATTTGTTCGCTTAATAAAACTGATTGTTGCACGAACTAATAGCTGATAGAATGCGCTGATAAGACCAGCTTTGTTCACGCAGTCATCCTGGCCATATGTCATATTACAACTACAACTAAATAGCTGACTTCAGTTATGACTTAAAATTTTGACATATTCGATTTTTAATATGAGATTGTAGGAATAGTCATTTTGAAACTAATTTTTCTATTTGAAAATACTCAAACCGGTGCAGGTTTAGGTAATGTATTCATTATGCAATTTAACTCACCTGTATGTATGTATGTATGCTTCTTCATGTCGGATTTTTGATGGAAACGCTTGCCGCAATATTGACATGGATAAGGTCTTGTGTCGCTGTGAATCAACAAATGCGTGGACAATGTCGACGAACGCTTAAAGGATTTGCCACATTGCTTACACTGTAAAAAATCAAAATTAAAAATTATTATAAATATTGTAGTAAACAAAAATTAATGCACAAATAAGTTTAATAAAAAAAATGTGGAAAACGGTTGGCCTCAAGGGCCATCCCTGCAACTTCCCTCTAATTTCATACGCTAACGTTCAAATTTCGCTTTTTTCACTGCTTTTGAGCTCTTCGAAATTTTTCGTTTTTGATATCTCGCAAGTAAAAACCGATTTTGACCCGGTTTGCGGCAAACGATGTGTTTTTTCAAGGTTTAGAACTGATTAGTTTTTGGTGTCGATCGGTCAAGTCGTTTGGAAGAAATTCTTTTTATTTTTGAGATTTCTCAAAATCTACTGGTCCGATTGGGTCCAAACTCACACGAAATTCAAGTGCAATGAAACGCTTTGGAATGCCGTTTAGTTTATTCAAATCGGTTGAGCCGTTTAAAAGTTATAAGAGGGTCACATACATCCACACACACACACATACATCCACACATACATATAGACATACGGACATCATCGTAGAAATGTTCGGGGAAGCTTCCTCGACCCTCAAAACGTCGAGATCTGTTGAGAACTCGATTTTTGCAAAATGGGGTGAAACCAATATCTTCCCGATTTTTAGAAAATTTTCAATTTTCTTAGCGGGAAGTTAAAAAAATTAAAGTATATTTTCGAAATGATTAATACTGTTTTTGGTACGAAACATATATATATATATATTTAATATAAGCTCCCTTAAATACACTCATTCCAATAATCCTCCAATAATTTTATGCCATCCCTACAATAACTTTCCGAAAGCTCTGCAAAATACCCGTCTACGGCTGTAATAGCTTTTTCATTCGACGCATTCGACAAACGAACTGTTTCAGGTATCTGAAGAGGTAGTAGTCGCTGGGAGCCAAATCTGGTGAATACGGTGGATGCTCAAGACATTCGTACTTTAATGCGTTGAATTTTATCACACTATTGTGAGCAGGTGCATTGTCTTAATGAAAAGTGATTTTTTTGTGCTGCAAACCAGGTCTTTTCTCACGAATTTTTTCAACCAGCTGATCCACAAGGCTGCAATAATATCCAGAGTTGATTGCTGCCTTTTTGCAGATAATGAATCAACGAAATTTCCTTTTGCATCCCAAAAAACTGATGCCATAACCCTTTTTGCTGATCGTTATGACTTCACCTGCTTTGGAGCTGAACAACCATCTTCAATCCACTGTAAATGTTCTAGTTTCAATTCAGGATCATGGTGGTAGATCATTTATAGTTTTTAGGTAGATCATTTTAAGATCATTTATAGGCAAGAAATCGGGTTTATTCTGCTTAAAACGCTCCAAATTATGCTGAGAAATTTGTTTTCGATGCAGTTTTTGTTGAATTTTTAACGTGTGCGGCACTAACTTTCCAAACAGCTATTTCATATTTATAATACAATAGTTATTAATAATTCTCCATATAAAAATGAAGTACCTGTTCGTCTGAGATGCCTATGGCATTCGCAATTTCACGCTTAGTCAAACTTGGTTCTTCACTAACAATATTATGAACTTGCTCAATGATTTCTGGTGTGGTTGCGGTTTTTGGCCGTCCTTCGCGTGGATCGTCTTCAAGCCTAGAACAACCACGTTTAAATTCACCAGGCCAAAATTCAACGCTGCGTTTTAAAGATGAGAAATCCTTATACACTTCTAACAATTGTTCTTAAATTTTCTTTGCTTTTAAATCGTTCAAAAAAAAGATGCTAATCACTGCGCGATATTAAATTTTTTCCATATTAAAAAATACTCAGACACGTCAACTTCAAATGATTTGTAAACAAATAATTAATTGACAGAATGACTTGTAACTTTACATGTGTTCTCACGACAGATGTACCAACTGAAGACAAAAAAATTTGGAGCTAGTAGTGCTTTTTCTTGGTGAGACCAACCACCTTTCCAACAACCTGTATAAACGACTTTTTTTTAGAATGTGATGGTTTGTGCCATATTTTACGTATATCGAGCACATCACACTTAACTCACAATAATACAAGTATTTTTCGGTCAATATTTCTGTCAGTTTATATAAGAAATTAATTTTCACTTTTTGGTTTGAAGTGGTTTTAAAAGCGCGCTTTTGTAATTTTTTTAAACTATATTTTACTATTATGCTTCAAAAATATTAAAGTTGTTGGAAATATAAATTCCAGCAAATATTTAGTTGCCTAAAATATAACGAAGACTTTTTAACGTGATCACGAAAAAGCTGATTTGCAGTACAAATTGTAAGAAGGACGATTTTGTAGAATTCTTAATGGCTTTTATACAAATTTTAAATACTCGCGCACACTACTTTTTCTCGATATGTTATCGATATGGTTACATTTCGACTGCACCTGCATGTGCCGCCATTCCATTACGTCAACAACGGATACAATAGCACTTTTTCAAACATTTCAAATCATGTGAATGATTTTCCGCGCATCTATAATGTTTCGGCTCGACTTCGAATGGGTTCGTATAAAACAGCTGTACATATACGAAGCTTGGGAAAGAATGTAACAGCAATAACAAATCAAATGAAGATTATATTCATATAATCACTTATACATATGTATGTGCTCCCAAACCTTAAATGTTTGCGTAGGTGTCTGAAGTGGGCATAGCTTTTTGGCGGTGGGGCGAAGTTACACATACTTATACGAGTATCTATTTAACTTCACATAGTTTACAAACAGTTTTTAGAGCTGCTTTGAACGATTTACACTTCGCTTTTTCGTCAAAATGAACTCCACACTACCAACGAGCTGGCGTAATTAGATGCAGTTGTGCAAATATTATGAAAGTTTTAAGAAAATAGTTGCTTTAATTTACACAGTTGAGTATGGTAGTGCTTAGTGCCTATTTTTGCTTAAGTAATCAAGTCTGGAGTCAGGATCGATGTTCAACCGGGGCAATATTCCAAATGTAATGATTTCAAAATTATAACTTTTGATACTCTAAGTAAATCTTATGTAATTACATGTGTTCTCTCTTAGACAACTTTTTCGCTGATTTCACTAAAAACCAAATATGCAAGCACGTGCTGACATACATACAGTGTTGGACAAAACTAAAGCTCGAAATTTACAATATTACCATTTAGCTGCAAATAATTTATTTACTGCTATAAAATTAATATATTCTATTTTATTTCACAAAAATATATATATTTTTATTGATGTATTAAAAAAAACGTAACATATTAATTCTCTTTACACTTAAATATGACTTAAAGTTTAACAATATGCATAGAATACATGAGACAAAACTAAAGCACATTACATATAATAAAAAAATAAAAGTATTTGTGGTTAATATTTAATGGTATATCCATTGTTTCTATGACGGCTTTACAGCTTTAGGGCATAGATTCAATTAAATTGTTTAAAATGTCTTGAGAAATGTTTTTTACATTTCCGTTCCACTTGGGCAAAGAGAAAGGCCTTATTTTTACAATTTTTCCATCTACAATTTCCCATAGACTGTCTATGGGATTGAGATCAGGTGATTGCGCGGGCCACTTCAAAAGTTCATCATTTTAACGACATTTCTTCTTCAGCATGAGGAAGCATGACATTTTGAAGAATGTTTTTGTACATAAAATGATCCATTATGCCATTAACTTGATGGATCGGACCTATGCCATGACTTGATAAACATCACCTTAGCTCCTTCATGTTTCACAGTACCTTGCGGATAAGGCGGATTGAAACCTTTTAGTCTTTGTACCAGCTTTAATCCATCAGTTCCTTTAATATTGTACTTGGACTAATCAGAAAAAAGTACGCTCCTTCATTTTGTAATACTCCAGTTAGCGTGAGCTTTTGCAAATTCAAGACGCGCTTTTCGATTTTTGCGAATTTGCGAAATGTATGACTTTTTGGCACTTCTATATGTTATAAAGTTATTTTCTACAGATCGTCGCTGGATGGATCTGTACGAAATACTCAAACCCAATTAACTCTGGTTTGATCTAGCTGATACCAAGGGATCTTTTTTTTATAGAACGCACCATATCCTCACGGCTAGTAGTTTTACTAGGTCTGCCATATCCATGAAATGTGGTTAGTGAGCCCGAAGAACGAGAAAGACTTATAATTTTTGAGACAAGCTGTGATTAATTGTGCACTTTTCGAAATATTAGTTACTGATTCACCGTTTTTAAAATCGCTAATAATTTTTTTCCTAAATAGTGCTGTATACTTATTACGCGCCATTTTCCTAGTACTTTTTTTGTATTACGAAGCAACACCATCGGTCATGGATAAAATGATCCGAAACTTCTCTCTTTGCCTTCTGATGGAGTATTTAAAAACTTTCAGTGCTGCTGGAGGAAGCCACGAGATCATGAACTACCACTAAGAATCCCGTAGAAATAAATTGCAAAATCAATGGGTTATTTGTGAGATCAGATTTTTTAGTGACTTTTACGTGTGTTTCTAATCTTTATTTAAAGATATTTAATATAGTGTTGATTTTAAGAAAGAGTGGGTATTTGTTCGCAGAGTAATGTTTTGCTTAGCAGAATCAAGATATTTGTTTTTTGTGTATATAAAAAATAAGTACTGTTCATGTTTAGGTTATTTGAAACTTGTAAGTGTTTTGAAATATTAAAATATTTTGTTAAGTTGAGCTTTAAAAGCTAACTTTGGAAATCATTTGTGATTAAAATAAACATGTACATATATTCGGACTGCATATAGGATATCTAGTTTGTTAAACTAATATTTATTATATATATATTTTTCATGAGAACCGAAAAATACTCAATAAACACATTAAAAAATCTCAAACATTATTTCCTTCCTTATTGGCACCACTGCCCAAGGTTATAAATAATGTGGACTTTGACAGCGCTCTCTTGAATCAAAGAGTTTCGAATCATTTTATCCTTGCCATCGGTTGATCACAAATGACTGATGTAATTGTAATAAAATTACTCTAACACGCTCTTCAAATAACGATTTCTAACTGTAGTTGGAATTTTAACGGTACTTGTTGAAATTAAGCTCAAGAAATAAGTAAATATAGTTTCGTGTTTTAGTTTTATCGTAGCAAATATACATATTATGCGAAATTTTTGTATGTCAAAATCTTATTACATAAATTTTTGCTTTAAATATATAATCCTATTATATTTATAAAAAATTTTAAAGTTTGGCAAAACTCTTACATTTTTTTTTATGAAATGTGTACAAGGTGAACTGCGTGCTTTAGTTTTGTTCGACACTGTATGTAAGTATAAATGTATTTATAAAACGAAACAACACGTTGTTTACTGCTAAACTTTCTCACTAACCAAACCTACATATTTGCACTCATAACCGTACTAAAGTAACGTTAAACTTTTATTAATTTAATATTTAAATGTGCTACTAGTGCGAACGTTGCTTTATTTCCGCTTAAATAAACCAAATATTTGTATAAAAAGTATACAAATTTCAATAAAAATTTCCCCGAAGTATTCTGCGCTGCCATGAAATCAGGCACAGAGTCAAATGTTGATACAGTTTGTCGTGCAACATGAACTCAAAAGATTGGTTCGTGGACGTTTGAGGGCGTCGAAAGCCAAGCAAGCAACCAGTCGCATGCATAAAGCATATTTCTTAAAGATTAATTACTATTCTTCAAATATAAGTAGTCGTTTGAGTACAACAATACCATATTTCATAATCTTTGTTGTTGCTAGTCTGCGCGCAGGCTGGCAACGCTGGTCTGCAGCTTGACACAAGTGTTTGCTACGACAGTTAGCTGCTGCAATGCGCGTGTTGTTTGATTGTTTGTCTACTATTGAGAGTGCCGAAGCGGGATTTACGTAGACTAGATACATATAATATATATACAAGTATATATATATATATATATATGTATCTGGGTGTGCGTGTGTTTGCGTTTGAAACATAAATGTATGTGAAGCTAACTCTGTTTGTTTGTTTAGTTATTTTTGGTATAAAAAGAGGAAACATCGCTGTTTTTGTTGTTGTTGTACGCACATTGTTAACAATCTATGGATGTGTGTGTTGCTAGCGCTGTCAATCCATACACGCGCACATAGCACTGTACTCTTGACTGTCTTGCATTTATTTATTGCTCATTAAACAAGTGTCGCCTTTGTGTTTTCACTAACGTTATTATTGATGAGCGCTCGCCTTTGTTGCTGTAATCTGTGTGGGTGTGTGTGTGACTTGTAAATAATACACATGCATGCGTATGTGTCTGTATATATAACTGTTTGGCTAATTAGCCACAATTGTTGCGCAGGTTTGCAATGCGCTGACAATGCTGCCTCTCAAGCTGCTTGGCGTGCAAAGTTAGGAAGCGAAAACGGAAGTTGGATTCGCCAGCAAAAGCCGCTATGAATACAAATGAGCTGGAGAAAACCCCTAACTGGGGTTTGGCACTAGATTTTTTCCATTGATTCGTAGAGGTGAGTCAAAGCTGAAGAAAGCGCTGACTAAGCGCTGCTAAATACATAGATACATACAGCAAAATGCGCAGGATGCATTACAGCTTCTGCTAGCATATTTTCAGCTGCAGCTTAAAAATTTTATAAAAGTGCTAGTTGCATTAACGGAAAGAAAAAAGTGTGCCAGCCATAAGGCAGAGTTTCCAGTTAAGTGACTCGCGCAAGGCACAGTTTTTTTTTCAAATTCGGCCACCCACTGATCGCGCAGCGCTGTAACAACAGATGTAAAGAGTGTTGGATCTCTCAAAAAAATAAAAAACACTTATAAACTCGCACATAAACACATTTTTTCTTAATGAAAATCCTTACAACAATTGTGCCGGCGAAATGATCAATAAAAAATGCTTATTATACGCCACACGACCATCTGCTGCGGCTCGGAAATTGCTGTTACCACAACATAGCTTGCTTGCGAGACAGAGAGAGAGTGAGAGAGAGAGATATGGAGACGTAGAAAGTTAAGAGTAAAAGAAAGCGAAAAAAGTGATAGTGCGCGCAGTAAGAACGCCTGTCAACGCTAAGGACGAAGCCCTGCAAGCGTATCGGGTTGCAATAAAAGCCTTATGGACAACAAAATTGTGAATGCAATGCCTACAAAAACAACCAGAAAAGTATGTGTTTGTAATGTAATAAAAAATAAGTATGTTTGATCACATAATAATTGCAATTTGACACTTTGTCTGGCATTTAGGCGATCATACGCGCTAAACGTTACCGTTTGGTCGTGCGCCGTGCCATATTGACAACAATGTTTAATCGCAGGTGAAACGATTATGAGCGCTTTATGTAATGTATCCTTAAAATATCTGTACATACTTAAGAAAATAATAGAAATGTTGAAAACAGAGTTTGTATGACAGAAAGGATTGCAGCTAGGCTTAGAAACTTAGGCACAGAGGAAATGTTGAGCACTATTGTTGAAAACAAGAAACAATGTTTTCGCTATCAAGAGGTATATTCTGAAAATTTAAAGCTCATTTCAGTAACATTTGCGCTCTTTTCAGCTCTTAGATATTTTAAATTTCCCAAACTATAGGGTTACAATTATACTCAATAACACAGTCTTCATGTTAACTAACTTAAAAAAAAATTTTTTTTTCTGTTGCTCAATATCACATGATTACTAACTGAGTTTAATTCATTTGCAATACCGCGACATTGTGCAAACAAAACATAATTCTCTTCGAACAACATTTGATATTATTGTAAACTGTGTCATCTATATATCTGATTGTGCCAATCAAAAGCTTTCCAAACATTGTCGTGCACATTCGAGGGCAGGGGTAGCGTTAGTCCATTGCAAACCCCTTTTCAGTTGTGCCTCAACCCTAAAATCATTTTATCAAATACTCAACGCTGCGAAAGTCGAAACGTTTACTAATCATAATTACTACAAATAAATAATTAAGACAGAAAATTTACTACCGCAAAGACCAAAGGACAGTGTGTAAATAAACGGCGCGTTCAAACACTTGCCAACAGCGGCACGAGTGAAGAGGTGAGCGGTCACGCAATGCAGACAAATTAAGTAAATTGAAAATTAACATAAAACTCAAGCACTGCAAGGCACATAAAACATCAAACAAACAGCAGAAGGACGCGCGAAAGGCACAAATACAATATATAGTAGAATTGAACAATAAAGCAAACAAATTATGATAGTGGGTGCAAAGTGTTGGAAATAACGCAAAGTAATTGAATAAGCGTCGAAAACGTAGATTAGTGTCCTCTATTAACGAACAGTGCTTTAATAGGGTCAATACAAACAATCAAAATTTGTGTGTGAGAGAAAAACTATTATTTAATTCGCAGCGTTGGTAGCGTCGCTGCATTTGATTGAAACAATCAGTATGCCAGCGTGTTAGAAATGTGTTCCGAAAGTAACTCCCACACTTAAATTTCGGCATGAAAGTGTTCTTGCTTGTTTGTTTCCACCACCCCTGCATACGAAATCACTTTTGAATACGTTTAATTGTTTAATATCGTGACACAAATCGTGACGCACACGCACACCAATGCAAATGCAGTTTGTTTGCTGGTATATTTGTAAAATTCTGCTAGATAGTAGTAGTAGGTGACACTTAGAGCCGAGTTATTGGCATATTGAAAAAATAATTGAAGTGGACACCTGATATATAACGAAATCGATGCCTTTTAGGCAAATTAAACGAGAATTCAGCGGCGAATGCAATAAATAGGCAATATCTGTATGTATTGTGTGTTTGTGCGCAAGTTGGTTAGATGACCCAAGGGTTTGAGCCCATCACCACGTGTACTTTAACTAAGTGTCTCTATGCGTGTTAATTGATCAATATTTTTGATGTTTTGCTTTTGTTTTTACATTCATAATGAATAGCTTAATAAACGCTTGTACCAACGCATGAACTTACATACTTGTTTGTCACAATGGTGAAAGTCCTGCAGATATATATATGATTTATCATTTTGTATGGCATTTCCGTGCTTAAATAAGTGGGTTAACTATTTCCCTACATAAAAATCACGCAATTACTTAATTAAATGCACTTTGAGGCTTACACTTTGTGTCTATGTAGTTTTTGCTATTTTTGTAAGGAGTTTTAAAGCAGTTTAGATGCTAAATTCGGTTGCGTTAGTCTCAAAATTATTGCGAAAATAACTGTAATCTATATAATGTTCAGATTTAGGCAAATTTCTATGCATATCAATACACTGATCTTTATATTGTATGCAGCTATGCCTACCATAGAAGCTGCATTTTACTCTCGCCGCTTACAGCTGACCAAATTAGTCAACGTCCTTTCACCAGCACACGCTCTGCGACGCATCCTCCTAATCAATTTCTCATTTTTCATTTCTTATTCTCGAATTTTAATCATTTCGTTTGCTTAAACCAACATTGCTTGCCAAAAAACTTACCTGAAAGTTGCGTGTCCCCCGCTTCTCGCTCTCGCCCTCACTACTGCAACTGTAGGAGCGCTGATGAACATCTGCTGCGCTAATGATCGCGGTCGAGTCCGGATGCTGATGTTGTTGTTGTGCTACATAATGTTGCAACTGTTGTTGCTGCTGCTGCTGCTCATGCATTATAGCCGAATTATTTGGCGAGTAACGGATCGCTTCCTCTGTCATATCCGCATCTTCTTCCGTTTTCATGTGTTCCATGCCATCGTCATGGCTATCGTAGCTACCACCTCTTCCCAGCCGATTGGCATTCCGACTGAGCATTGAATTCTCGTTATTGTTATTGTTATTTTGCACAAAGGCATCAGCGCGACTCTGCAGCTCCTTGAGGTGTGCTTGCAGCATTTCGAAGTTGTTGCCCGTCGCCAGGCCGGCCATGAAGGCGTTGCGATGCGCATAGATTTGTTGTTGTGCGACTTCCATCTCTAAATTGGCCGCCTTAAGTTCCTGCGCACGGGCAGCAGCGGCCACGGCGGCCGCATTAAATTGTGTGGCCAATGCGGTATTGGAGGAGAGTGGCGATTGCAGCGAGACATCAGCGATTGCAGCGCCGATCGAGCGGCGCGGGTAGCTGGCGCGACGTTCGTACTTGAATTTACGCACAATCGGATCAACGGCATATGCGCCGCTATATTCCGCATTGCTTGCTGCGCCATCGCTTGCTTCCGTTTTCTCGCACATACTCGCCGGCGACCAGATGATCGAGCCATGCGAGCGGCGTTTTGTGGGCGAACGCGGCTCTAATTTGTTGATCGCGGTTTGCTCATTGCTGGCTGCAGCGTTAACCTTGAGATTGACAGCACGCAGTGGTGGTGGTGTGCTTACAATGTCAACGCTTACTGGAGTGCAAGCATTCAGATCAGATTCGTTGCTTTCGTGTTGTTGGTCCGCGTTTGGGAAGCGTGTCAGCCGCTTCAGGCACGATGTTTGTTTCAGTGACAGATTTAGCGGCATATCCTCACCGTGGCTGACATCCTGTTGTGGCGGCAACTGTGCGTTCTCCTGATCCTTTTCGGGTGTGAGCGAATAATCGCGATTGTTTGTAAACGATGTGGGTGAGTGGGGCGTTGTTGGTGTGGTGGGCGTGCCGAGCGCTGTTGTAGTGGAGGAGAGTAGAAATTGTGGCCATAACACGCTGGAGTAGAAGAGGGAGTTGTAGGGAAAAGGGAGATCTGTAGGTGAAAGAAATGAAATTAAATTAAAAACTTAGTTAGTGGATGGGAGAAGGATTTACTTAATTGAAGAACATAACCACGAATTGTGGATATTGCTGTTAAAGAGGAATTTCGAATTAATAATTTTTGTTTTAATAAAATAAATTGATAAAATTATTAGAAATGTTTTAAATGTAAATAAAACGATGGCTAGAAATGATTTTAGGCGTTAATTATTAATATCAAAAGTCGTGCAATTATCTTACAAATATATATATATGTTTTAACCTTTAATAACTCAATTAAAAACCATGTTTTAAATAATAAATAACTTAAACAGTCGTTAACAATTATAGTATTTGAGAATGGCAATGATTAGTATTACAAATAAATTTATTATTTTTCTCCTTTTCTTCTTTTTAGTTTTAGAAAATTATAAAGCATTTCATTTTGCAAATTGACTTACTATTCAATTTCTGCGCCGACGCGATAACGGAATTAAATGCTGATGCATTTTGTATCCAATTCTTCGTCGAGCCGAGATTCACATCCAGCGCGGAATTGGCAAAGGCGGCCAGCGAAGGCGATTGTGCTGGTTTTTGTGAATGTGGCGTTAGCGGTGGAGACAGGTGATTCATTTTTTCTATATTTTTGATTATTTTGTGCGAATTCCTCAATTTATTTCGATGCGATACTGATTTTTCAACCGATTGTTTGCACAGGTTTTATGGTATGTCGAAATTCTGAGTTAATTATTTAACACAGTTTTATCAAAAATATTTCAGCAAACAAGAACAGTTATTTATTTAAATTAAATTTGTGTATTTTTCTGTAAAATCACTTCTATGTATTTAGCTGGTGCACACACGAATTGTGTCTTTTACAAAGCAGCAGTCTTTGATTTCTCTTCTATTGCCAAACGGCGAGTTTACACGAATTGCGACTTAACGGTTTTATTGAGAAAACACTTTTTCAATTAATTTCCATGCACTTTGTTCAACTTTTGTCGTATTGGCATTTATTTATGGTTTGAAATCCACTTGAACACACGTCCGTGTTGCACGGTGCTTGGCACCTGACTGAATCTTCACTCGTTGGCTGCCTATGACCAGACCAGAGCCCAATCGCATAGCCCGTCACTGAGACTGTTTTCAAGTTGGCTGAGAGTTGTGTTGGTGTTGGTAAGAGTGGTTGTTAGCTGGTTGGCTCTTTGACGGTGATTGTACGCCAGTTGGTGGCTGCTGTTCTTGTTGTTGCTTATGCATCACACACAACAGTCGGCGGCGGTGGTGGTTTCTTACTACTACCGTAGGGATGGCCGTAAAGTTATTTTTCTACTGTGTACTTTTGTGTGTGTGTGTGTGTGTGTGTGTAGTGGTGTGGAGAATAAAATACGCTCCGCTCTTGGTGGTGACTTGGTGTTGTTGAAGTGGTTGATTTTCAAGCTTAAAAAATCGTAGTAAAGCAAATTGCAGCACACGACAAAGCAACAACAAAACCAAGCACACAGTTAGCGACACACAATATACATATATACATACATACATACACATGCATATACATACATTTATTTATGTACGTACAGTATATGCAGGCGCTTATAAAGGAGAACATTGAATCAAAACGGCATGCAGTGGCACATTTAACCTTTAAGGGCTGCGCACCCGTAATTTATAGTTATATGTAAGCGTTGTTATTGCAGCGCCGTCTGTTATCTGCTAGCGACTGCGCAGTTAACGTTTTCACCTTTTCATCTCATTTGCGCTCTAATTTGGCTTGGAGCCTTTATTGCTTGTTGTTGCCTTACAGCCGTGTCCTGCCGCAAGGGTCACAACACGCACAGTTATCTGACGTTGTTCTTATTGCGCGAACATGTAAACGTTGTTGTTGCTGATTTTATAGACAGCACGCGCTTACCACTACTAATTGGTATATACTCGTGGATTGGCGGCGCATTGAATTCACTGCCGTTGCAGTTAGGTGCCACTACATTTACCGTTTTCGTTGTTGTTGCAACAATTTGTTGTTTTTTGTTTTTTTTTTTGTGTTGCTGCAACAACTGTTTCTGACGGCTGTTGCGCGCCTTGGTACATGTAAACGTTCGTTTGTCGCATTTAACAAGGCAGCAAGCGAAAATACTCACCCCCTCCCCACCATAGTTGAACGGTTGTAGGCTTGAGCGTAGATTTCCCCGAATTTCCTTGTATTACTGCTTACTAATAGAAATAAGCATGCGAGTGTGTTTGTATGTGCCAACGTCAGTGTGTTTGACTCTTTTGCATTTGTTGCTGACTAAGCCAAGCAATTTGAAGCTGATTCAGATCATTGGATCATTCGTTTCCTGTAATGACTAGAAGCCGAAATTGATGTTTTATTGTTTATTTAGAAAACACTTTATTTTAGCTTATGTATGTATGTGTATGTGTATGTATGCTGTATGCATAAAATATAAAAAGCTTTGTTTTGGAAAGTCTTTAAACAGTGGTCCAAAGCGTTAACTGGTTGCTTAAGCCCAACCTGTGTTCTTAATATTTGTAAACATAAATAACCTGTGGCCTCTTCGCAGTAAGAAAACTTCTAATTAATAGTAGACAATTTACCTAAAGATCCTTGGAAATACGAATGATTTAGACAGATTAGATATAACAGCCAATGTTAGGCCAATATAATATATCACGTCAGTGCTTGATTGCTTACTTTTCTTCACCGTTTTTGGTTCAGATTAAGAAACATACTTACAATTTTATTTTTAAACATATTTCAATCTATTTTGCGTAAAATTTCACAGCTATAAGAAGCAAATTTGTGATATTTTGATTATTATGATATAAATGCGTGAAATCAACAGCCCTTCAGGAAAGTTTATTAAAGGTATTCGAAAGCTCTGAAAAGTATGCTATAGCTGCGACTAATTTTACATAACAAAAAACTTCGCGAAGTATAATTTTTATCAATGTGGAAAGAACTCAGTAAAAATGTTTGAAAATTGTATACAAGTTGGACTAAAAGACATAAAGCACTGTTTGAGTATAATAAATACCACCGAATGCCCATTATATAATATAACGTGTGGTTACCCTCGACCTAAGTCTATTCCTCACTTATTATGCCCTGAACAGGGTATATTAAGTTTGCCACGAAGTTTGTAACACCCAGAAGGAGACCCTATAAAATATATGTATATATAAATGATCTGCATGATGAGCTGAGTTGATTTAGCCATGTCTGTCCGTCTGTCTGTATACATACGATCAAGTCCTTCAGTTTTTTAGATATCGATCTTAAATTTGGCACATGACCGTTTCTCATCAAGAAGCTGTATATTTGTGGGAATGACCGATATCGGACTACTATAGCATATAGTTGCCATACAAATTGAACAGAACAACCGGAATCAAGTTTTTGTATGAAAAACTTTCATTTGACGAGATATTTTCACGAAATTTGGAACGGATCGTTATCTAAGGCAATAATGGAATCTCCAATAAATCGTTCAGATCAAATCACTATAGCGTATAGCTGTCATACAAGCTCAACGAACGGAATCAAGTTATTCTAAGGAGACTTTAGTTAACGGTTTCTCTGGTTTTTTCTTTAAGGAGGATTACTAAATATACACTTTTAGCTACTTTATATGTATGCATATGTTTTATAAGAGCTTCTGAGTTTAATGGATGTGGTTAAATTTCGCATTACAAGTTGATGCACTCATTTGCTTATACTTTACTACGAAGTTTATCACAAAACGACATAGATCGTTTAATATTTTGGAGACAGGGCTTCCTTACTAACGTATATAGTCTATTGTTTAGTCCTATAATATGTTTAATTTCATAACGGTGCTAACGAACGTTTTATTTGTCATTGTGAAGAGAAGCACAGCATTTTTCTATCATACTTTACACTCTTTACATTGAAAGAAAATTAATCCAATGAGCTCCAATCTAAATAGGCTCAAAAGTATAGACACCTGCGCCACCTGTTTTACTCGTATGGTCGACGATAAACCTAACGCAGTTGTAGGTAAACGAACAATTAAATAAAATTCTAATGTTCTCTCATACAACGCATATAAAACTAGTCAAAATTATGCTGGTTGGGCACATTTGAATAACTTGTAACGTATTTTTGGTAGTAAGATGGCACTAAGGTGGTATAGAAGCTGAAAAAGTCCATGTTGTTGAAAGGATACGTTGCACTTCCGTGACATTTTCGCGCCAATTTTTCTCAAACATGTGGAAGAATGTTAATTTCTATGAATGTGTAGAAGGAAGTGAGTCTTAGCACGACGGCTGTAAGTGGTTTTCTTATAGCCAAATATACATACGGGTCTTAATGGCTAAGGAAAAGGCGATATGCAGCCCTCTACTTGCAGAGCGAAGCGTTTAGAACGCGCATGTATTGGGCCATTCGAAATAATAGATAGGCGGGTGCCAGGCACGCTTCCTTAGCGCACTTTCCCTGCTACTTGGCATTTTCTCTGCTATACGTGCCACACATGCATGAGCACCTATGGTATATGCATATGTGTATGCGTGTGAATGTGCACCCTTCGCAAGAAGATGTTGCGCTAGAGCGGTTTTTGTTTTATCACTGGACTATGTGAAGTGTGCCTGCAATTACAATTTTGTATTGCCTTATCGGGGCAACTAGTTGTTGGAAAAAGCGCAACTTCAGTTACACATGAGGGGTCATAGGCATACATACAATATATGTGCACATTTGTACATAAAATATATCGAGAGGGCATTTACATTGTCACGACGATGAGGGTGTTTGCGGTAAAAACGCCAAAATAGAAATGTGACTGACGAATGTCAGCCAGTTGGCGTTAGGGGTTAGGGACGCGTACTCTCGCTAGCTAACGCGTGCGACAGGCAGCTTGAGGTCGCTGGCGATAAGCTACCATCGTAATTTTTTGTAACGGACTCACCGTATGTTGCCGCCAAAATATACAGTCAACAATGTTGTTTTTGTGTTACTAATAAGTCCAACCGAACGCGTAGCGAGCGTTCAACGAATAAAACTGCAAACAATTAAAAACAACAACAAGCCACACACAACAATTTCAGCAAAGAAGCATTTACTATTTTAATCAAGCGCTTTTTATCTACTAACTCATTTGTTTTTAATTTTTGCTTTTTTCGTTGTTTTTATTGTTGCTAAAATCACCATTTGCCTTTTGTGCGATTGACACCACTAACGCTCACAAGCGTAATCACATCAACAGCTACAACAGCGCCGCCATCGTCAAAAACCATAAGTTAACACAAACGCAACAATAACAACAAGCAAATATTGTCGCCGCACATAAATAACAAACAAAAATTCCATCACACTTTGGTTTCAGCTGCATTGTCTGCGCAGGCCTGCTCACGGCGCTCTATTGGTTTTGTTGTTGTTTTTGCATTTGTGCCTTTTTGCCGCGCTCGGATTGGCTAGCCAGCTTGCTTGGTGGGGCGTTTACTTCTCACACTTTGTTAGTCAACCGATGCGGCATTGTTTTTGTTGCACTCATTCGCTTATTCACCACAGCTGAGTGGTGGTGGTGTGGTAGCTTGGCACTTAAATCTGTTTGTATTTATTTTAAAACCTCAGCCGTGAGTTGTGGGAGTATTTGTGAGATCGTGTGTGATATTTTTGGCATTTCCCTGGTAAATAAGGTAAAAATGCAAAAAAATAATCATCAGCGAAAATAAAGCCCGAAAATTACCTTAAAGAGCAAATCTAATATATCAGATAGTTAAAGTTGTCCAAAATTTGTCAATCCATTCATTTATGTACTTCTGAACTTGCCTTCTTAAACTAAGCTTAACCAAGCTCGGCGCAAAGATGTACGCAGGGCGCTGTCGCATTCAGTTAGTGACAGCTCAAGGGTCAGCAGTGGTAATCAGCGCATTAAGCATGCATTCACGTGAACTAATTCTCTCAAGTAACAGCAATGCTTGTAGGCATTTTGTATTAAATGTAGAAAAAGACTTTGCTGAATTTGAGAAATGCAAGCCGGTAAATACTGCGCAAAGCGACAACATATCGCAACGAAATTAACGCTTTCCCATAAAAGGAAGCAAATA